TATACTCGAATATGTACACCAAGTGTACATACATATAACTACAAAGAAACACTTGAAACTCGCAGCCATGCAATTACACGTACGCTTTTGTATGGATTTCAACGTCATTTCGGCAAGCTGATGGAGCTGACTGTCAAATTAATGCATTTAATTGTCAAACAGAGCGTTTAATTTGCACAAAATGCACATTTGCAGAAATTGGCTGCTGTGTATGTACACGCGTGTGTGTGTATGTGTGTGTACTCGTATTTAGGTTTCTGCATAAGTCGATTTGCATTGCATATTCATTTCCATGATCCGCCAAAACCGCGCACACTGCTTGTAAGAGTAATAAAGTGCAAATGCGAATTGACTTTTTGTGTATTTTAGTCAACAATAAAGAAGTGAGCAAAAGCAATTGAAATGGAATTTTTATTTGTAATTTTCACAGTGGCAGGCATTTGCGGTTGCAATTTCCGCATAATTTGTGGTTAAGTCAAGTGTTGAGTTGGGAAAAATATTGATTTGTTTAGTCAATATTTTTTCGTTTTCTAAATTCAATTATTTCCCGTTAAGTTTGATTGATTGCAAAATAAATTTGATTTACCGTTAGTAAAATTTTATATGAGTCGTTGATCTGAGAAATTCAACTTGGCTGCATTTGTCATGCATTTTTCCAGATGTCCTTTTACTGTTATATTGTAAACTAAATTTGTATTTGTACGTAGGTATATTTATAAATATAATAACTGAATTTTATAAACAGTGCACTAGTTTTATAGTTTAGTAAATTAATTCTTGGGAATGTCTATTCGCGCTTTGCTAGTGTTACCAGTGTCGTCGGCTATGCCAGTGTCGCTGGTGCCGCCAGTGTTGCAATCGTCAAAGTAATTCTTTATATTCTTGGCGAATTACGTTGTTGAAATAGCGCGATTTAATTTAAGAATTTGTAAGTACATGTACACCCAGCATACTTTGGGAAGTTCGTAAATAAAATTCTTTAGCAGTAATTTCTGATCCATTTTGCCTTGAAGTGGAGTATAATACCCGTGAAACCTTTGCTGCTCATCATTCCTTCTGCCACTCCCCAGGCGCAAGTACTTTCATCTTAGAGGAGTTTTATGGTTTAACGTTTAGAGAAATTCCTGGAAAATGCGGCTCGAGGCAGCGGGACCATGGTATATGTATCTACATACAGCATGGTACATACAAAAAGTAGTTTTTCTATAAAAAAAAATTAAATAAAATAAAACTTTTTCGGTATATTATTGATCGAAAAAATCCTATTATTTATTGAACGCGATTTCATTCATGGGGCTGCCTCGGCTGGCTTTGCAGTAGCGCATCTTGTTAACCCAACTTTCCAAACCCCTCGGTGACGGTTTCGGATTCTATCTCACGAATGGTTTCCTCGATATTCGCCTTAAGTGCCTGAACCTTTAATGGATTGTTCGCAGAACATCAAACGACCTTGAATCTCAGCTCCTGATAACACGATTGTCGAACTTATAGCGTTTCCCTCAGCATTTTCAAAGGAAAAATGGGCCAAAATGGAAAAAATGCCGCTGCTCCAAAGTTCACACTAAACTATCTTTTCGATTACTACGTGTGCAGTTACCTATCCTCAGATGCTGCAGTTTTGCGTGTTAATATAGCCGCTGAGAAGAAAATGCGCTTCGTCAGAAAAGATGACTAGTTATACCTAGATCCAATATATTCGTCCAATGCGGAAACAAATTGGACGTAACAATATAGTGGACTGCGTAGCTGGAGTTGGACTGATGAGGGTTATTTTTTTTTTTTAAGTGCGGCTGAAGGCCGCCTACGCGGATAGGTGTTCTGCGTGAAAATACTGTGGCCCCTGATCTAGTTTAGCCTAGGCACTAACTAGTTCGTCCTAAGATCGGGTTTGGCCGTTAACATATATATGGAAATGTGACAAACAACCAATAAAGCTATTGAACATAGCAATATCTAGTAAGATGAGCGATTTCCACGATTCAGGATTGTATTTAATTTAACAAATTTTAGTAAGCTATAAAAATATGCTTATCAATTGTTTTCTTTTTTTTATGACTTGAAGAAACAATCACAAACTCCCATTTTTTTCAAAAGATTTCTTGATTAAGAAACTAGTAATTTGGAGTGTTAGCTAAGACGTGGCAAACTGGCCCAGGCAAACCCACTTTCACTACACAAGAAACTGGAACTATGTTCCGTTGGATCTTTCTTCTTTTCTTAAGTATTAAAAAAACGTCTAATTGGAAACAAGCTATTTATATCTCATACCTTCACATATAAATATGCACATTTAGATGCGCTTCTTAAATTTTATGACTCTTCTCATTCGCCACTGTTGCCATTCGGCAAACCGCTGGACCATTAATCTCTCACTTAAACTATTCGTAAGAAATCATTTAAGTGTTGTAAAGTTTACGGAAATAGCTAATGCATTTAACCTGTTGCACACGCACACTACTAGCGATGCACGAAATCACCAACAACTATGTAAAATAGAAAGCAGGTGTGCGTGCAACCCATTACTGCTTGCCACAAGAGTTTGCGTGTGAATTTAAACGCTTCAATGGAATATCAAAATTACTGCCGAGCTTAGAATAAGTACTTATATTTATGGATATGGACGTACACACGACTTAGAGAGCATTAACGTCAAAAATGCGCATTTCATGCAAACCAAGGCAACGCATTGCTTCAGCAATGTCGAAGCATCACACAAACGAACTACGAAAAAATAGTGCAATGTAAAAATTTCAGCAGAAGAGGCAATCAACAGTCTGTGAAAACAACACATTGACTGACAGTGAGGTGAAGCGCAATGAAGAGAGCTTATGCGCTATTATGTATTGCAGCATGAGCTAATATTCGAAAAATGAAGAGGAGGGAAAGGGTAACGTGAGGAAAGCTGCTTGTAGGCTGCTTGTCAGTCAGGTCGGACCGGCAAGACATGTGATTCAGTAACCTTGCACCATTACAACTGATAAGAAGCCGCCGCTACAAGCATATTTAGACACAAATGTACGCATCAGCACCACGATCGCTAAGAACTAGAAATATGCGCGCGAGTAAACGGCTTTGAAGTGTACATATGTAATTAATAACAGGCGTGCAACAGAGCTGGGGCACTGACGGTGGCGACTGTGATGACGAAGAGGAGGTGCATGGCCCAACCCAAGGGGCAGTGATACAAAAAAAAACCCACACACATGCACGTCTCGCGCTGTCGAACTGTTAAATACAAGTATATATCGCATGCGTGCATTCGCTCATCTTTTCATTAGCATAAAATACTTCGCTAAGGCCATAATGGCATCAGAAAACGAGCAAAAACCGAAAAACAAAATGATAGCTGAACCACATACATAGATCTGCAATAATTCTTGCATCGAATGCAACGAATTGCGCGCACATAAAATTAAAGCCGTATTCTTTTAACTGCCACCAAAGTGAAGGCCTGCAGTTGCTCATACGCCATGGCGGCGGGCACGAACAAGGCAAAAGAGTGGTTTAATTTATACTTTGCTTACATTGTTACTAGTGCTTATCCGTAGATATTTGAGCCATTTATTTCACTATGCATTTATGCGCATATGCGCTAAAATTTATGCAAGAGCACATTTGCAGCTACTTTTTCGGCTTTGGTAAGAGTATCTTTTTCATGGCCTCTTAACTGTTTGAGTGTATGCCAACTGTTAATTGAATAAATATTTTGGCGCACAGCTGCTGCGGCATGCTCACACGTTCATACATAGGTACTTATGTGCGCATGCATGTAAAAGTTTGATTATGGCAACTTAACTTAACTTAACGGAACGTAGAGCTTAGAGAATCAAAATGAAACTGATTTCGACTTGGCATTAAGCTACGTTAAGTTTCGGCTGTTCAATTATAAGCAACATCCATTTAACAGAATTTTTAAGTGAGAGCCGTAAGTTACGTTAAGTTGCCATAATCAGACCATAATTCCTGTACGTTTTTGCACGAAGTTGATGAATGTCTATGCTTGTTGCCACATTAGATAAGATTAAATGGGTTCAGTGTGGCAGCTTGTGGGCTTTGCGTGAGTTCACTTCAAGAATTATCTCTCATTGCGAATAAAAATCATGCGATTCATTGAATGTTGACTTCAATTTTTGTAGGCGTTCCAGGAAATGCATACGAGTGGCTAAGTTGGGAGGTTAACCAGGAAATTCATGCAACTGCGAAGAGTGAATATAATGATGATTATTTTATTTGGCAGATACGTGCATACATATAGTATACTCTACCAAGATCTAATTAGAAGAAGAATATTTGCTGCATAATTTGTAAAAATGATAATAATAAATTATGTCTTGATAGAATGCCTATAATTTTTAGAGAACAAAATTTTAATTTATTAAGGCAACTTCTGTCAGTCTTAGTAGATATGAAATTAAGCTACGCGCAAAATTTGAGCGAAATCGAGGATCATCACACAAAAAATCATCACTTGTTGTTACATTTAAATATGGAATCGCCGCATGTATTTACATATTTAAATGAGCACTCAGTTTCAAGGAGAAGTGATGTTGTACACATTTTACAGATATCCGTGTTCATCTCAAAACCACTCAGCTATTGCTGAGAGATCATCCAGATTATAATCTGATAATTATCAATGAACAAATTTCATGAGTTTTCTGTCCATTTTGCTTGAGACGGCTTTTTGTTTGGCTTGGCGTTGCACCGTTTCTTCCTCATATTTCTTCATTGAACTACTGAACTAGTCATTCCAAAGTTTGTCCAATCTAGCTGCGGGCAATACAATCGGACAAAGTCAGATAAGAACTCAGTAAAAATATTTGCGGGATATCTCAGCCATCTTGTTCAGAGGTCGGCGGCATTGATAACTTTATTTTGAAGTCAGCTTCAAGGTAGTCGGATCATAAAATTAGAGTTGATAGCTCGTCAGGGTGGGCTGTAGTTGCTTGCAGGAAATTATGTGAGGTCAGTCAAAATTTTTCAGCGACCCATATGTATGAGCGTCAATGGCAGTGTGGCAGCATGCCCAGATCCCGAGGCTATACAGGCATGGATGGTGCTGGCTGCCATAAAGGATTGACCCTAATCAGTCAGTGTGATGCTAGGCCATGGAATGCCACAGACCTCACCCAAGCGGGGCCAAGCATTAATGATTGGCAAGATGGTTTATGGCTAGGTCGATTCGGTGTTTTGCGCATAGTTTCGGGGTTTTCAGGTATAATCTTCAAAATCTTCTACGTTTCTCGAAAACTTAGGGGGAGGAAAGGAAAATGGTGACTGTGGCCCCCTTCAGGTAACTCAATGTCTGGAGAGCGGATACCGCCAGATGCCCCAGGCTACAAACGTTCCAATAGATACGAATGCGCTTACACCCAAAAGTCATTCAATCCATTGTTTTAGTAATAACTCTCAGGACTTATCAGACTCTTTAGGTTTCTAGTTAATAGTGTTTGATATAAATTAATGAGTGAATGATCCATTAGAATTTCAGCCAAGCTAAAGTATCCCAACCAAAGTGTTTAATGATAAGAAACACTTTGAGAAAATATATTTCAGTCCAACTAAATATACTAGAAGGACATTCCAAGCGAGTAAGCATATCGGAACCTAATGATATTTCCGAAAAAATTTTAAATTGAACGTAGTTATAGTTTTTCTTTTTAAATCTCCTCTAGCCCTGATTAGCTTATCGTTGAATATCTAAACTCCAAGCAAAAAAATTTTAAATACCTTAAGAATTCTGTTCAGTTCTGAGAAATAAGCTTCGTTTTCAACTTTACCATTCCAATTCATAATCCCCAGCTAGGTACGCTTTAAAATTAAACTACCGGAAGTAAAAATCACGCAAGTTTTGCTGTTCCCACGTGACCTCCAACGCATGCAGCTACGTGCACGATCCATCTTTACTTGCTTATCAGCTATTTTGAAAAAAAAAAATAAAATAAAAAACCACCAACTATCAAAATTAAAGCAAATCACAATAAGTGCAGAGCGATTGAATGTATCCCACAATTAGAGTAAATTGCTGTGCCTTTCAACACAACTGAACAAATCGCCGATTAATATGCAGCATAAGCAGCAACAGCAAATTGAGCGCAACAACTTAAAACGATTAAGAGCGACTAGCTCACAGAACGAGCTGAGGATCAGCGGACGATCGGTGGATTTATTTAGTGAACGATCACTAGATCAATACTCTTTCGATCGATCAGTTTGTATTTTAATGTAGCTTAAGTTCTGTTTCCCTCCAATTTGGTGCAACCAACATCTGTTGGGTATCACGAGCTTGTGTCCATACTTGCACCTAGAAACATTTGAACAGCAATCAATGTACGAGTAAAATTAGCCTTTTGCCTTTGCTTATTGTAAAAGTAATTGCAGCATCGATTGAATTGCCAATTACTAGCATAATTATCTTGTCTACCACGATTTTAAAGTGTAGGTTTTGATTCTTTTTATTTTAGGAAATATAAATTGATTAGAGGGCAGGTTATTGGTTGCACCATAAAGTTGCAACACCTTAAAATGCGAGCAGTTACAAAAGGGCGGTCAAATAAACAAGTGTAAAGGCTTGTTAAGATTTGGTAATAATTTAGTTTATTGCAGAAATTTTAACCCTTTGAATAAAAGGGCGTTGCAGGAACGGGTTCAGGTAAAAATGTGCCTAGTTATCAATTATAAAACTTGATTTGTAAGTCAAAAATTTAAATCAGAAATTGAGATAGCAAGGGACGTTCAATGATAGTTGGTAAAATGTTCATTTACTATGGATTGATAAATAAATAATAAATATGTTTCGAGACGCAAAGCTAAAATTCACATATGTTCTACCGAATGATAGCAGGCCCTTCTAAACACTAGGCTACGCAGAACTCATTTACTTTCTATTTTGGATATGGAGTTACAAGACTAATCTGCGCTTTCTCCTATCTAGCTACCTATTCCACAAGAAACTTTATAAGGGTTAGAGGGAAAAGAGATGGAGAATCCATAAGCTAATTCTTTAGCCGCATTATTCTTTGGTCCTTCTCTCACCTTTTTGAAATGGTGTCACAGTCAAGGGATAGGTGAAATTGTGTATCTTTAGATATGTCGAGACAGAGATCATTTTGCCAAATCCCTAACTTATGCAGATGGATGGCTTCCTTGTCGATAGTGCCTAGTAATATTTCCTGTGATAATCTTTAGTTTCTCCCTAGGTATACCCCTCTATAAGCTTTTGGTTGCCGAAATCCTGTCGATCTTTACCACTCGCGCTTGCATTCCCATTATCTATATATATGTTCTTAGTTCTTTCGTGATCGTATTGGGATCTACTTCACGAAATGGCTCGGGATCTATGGCGTGTTACCCAAAGTATTCTGATTTCTGTGTTTGGTCGAGCTTCTTCTCCAATTTTTGGTGAATGTTTTGATGTTATAACACAAATGTAGAGAGCTAAAGTTTTACGCGACTCCGAACGGGATTTTATGAAAAGCTTTTTCAAGTTATAACCATTGCCTTCCAAGAGGAGACCACTGTTATAAAATCTTGTTATAATTTAAGATATTCATGGGTCCAGGAATCGAGCCCCGGGTCCTACGGAGTGGTAGTATGCATCTCTAACCACTCGTCTACACATAGAACAGCCTAGTGTGTCGATTGAGAATTATGATTATCTCATTGCAGTAATTTACGTACATGCATAAAGCCTCATCCTGGGACCAAATATATACCTTCTGGGGGGTTTTTACCCTATCTAAGTGCGACTGCACAGAGCATCCCTTGGCACGTCGCTGATTTGCTGCATAGCTAAAATCTAAGTTTAATGAGTCATGAAAAGGACCAGCGGGAACTTGCACGACCCTAGACGATAAGACGTTCACTTTGGGGTCCAGTAGCTCGTTTCTGTAACTCTTCTCTACCGATTATTTCTATACTGGTAGAGAATATACGTCATTCTCTACTACTCATTAGCAGTAGAGAACAGGGAATTATTACAGAAACGAGCTACAGGACTGGATCAAGATACTTTTTCACAGAAGCGACATTGAACACAGTCTCACTCAAAGATATATTTCTCATGCCCAGAATAATTCTTTTTCTTGTAAATGGGAAGATGACCATCTTAGAACGCTATAGGCCCTGGAAAAATGGTTATCGCCTTGAATTTGTAGGGGATTATCTTCACAACTGTGAGTTTTTAATCTCTTTGATGCGGGATCTATATACGCATGTTGTAAGTATCACAATCGTCTCAGTTAGCAAATTTGTGCTCCAGGCGCTGAGTCACCTGCTTCCAAATTTGGATATGAAGATCTTAAAGAAACAACTAAAGTAATCTATGGCGAAAATAAGAAAAAGGGATTTGTAATAATACATAAGTCATCTTACGCTGCGTATGACCATTAATCAGGTCTTAAAAGATATGTTGCTTAAAATAAAATCGTCCCACACAAGCATCTAAATTATTACGAATTTTGCTTTTCTTGTAATAAAAATTGTATATTCATGCGCTGTAGTCATCACTTCTTTGAGAAAGAATGATAATGTTTTTACCTCTGTACTTTTGACATTTCAATGCTACACACTTTTCTTATTACAATGTAAATAAGTAGAAAAGATTCCTAGTAATTTGGATAAGCAAGCTGAGAAATCATAGATAACCATCTCAATTTCATGCCGCGGCAATTACAACCTGACAATATTTATGTATGTACAAGTATGGCTAAATACTTATATATACGTGGGCAGAATTGTGACAATGACAATAGGTCAAACATTGCATGCTTATATAGAAGAAACATCAAATGAGTGAATGAATACAACAATGAAACCTCTTAGGCAAACAGGGATTGCGGTTGAGTGAATGAAGCGCCTTCTTTTTACATACTAATACCTCGGAAAAGATTTATTTCAATGCACTTATTCACGTACATTTGATATATAGACAACCGCATAAGTGCAAATGTATGTATATACAAGTGCAGTGTAGTTGATTTATGTATGTACTATGTATATATACGAGGGTATTTTGTATTACTCTGTATTCTACGTGACGGTTAGTGTGAATAGTTTGGGTTGCACTGGAAAGTCATTCAAAGTGCAATGATAAATGCGGAGAGTGTATGTGGTGTCTGTGCTTGAGCGCATATGAAAAAAGCTGGTCTGGCTCAAATTACTTGGCTCATGTAAATCTGTAGACAAAAGCTGCAACCGAAGAAGACATGAAAGTTCAACGGCCCGGAACAACTTAACATGTGCTTAGCTTGTAATTTTAATTGTAATTGGGGTTTATTGTTGAGTTAAGTATACTTTGCTTGTGTTTTACATTCAGACATACATACATGAAATATGGAACAAATCAGTCCATAAGGTGAAATGTTGTGTACTTTTGCACTTTTGCGGTGACAACGCATTCAGCAATAATCATCTTATTAACATGCCTAGCTGATAAAAAGTGGTAGAACCCGAGTAAGTAGATTTCTTCGAATCTTCATTATTTAATTTGCTTTATATTTCCACTACTATGTTCTTGAGCAATCATCTATTAGATTCGAAAGAGACTGAACAGTTCGGACATTATTTTCACTAAACCGATTAGATTTTGTCTCCATTTTCTCTGTGTAACTAGACCTCTGCATATTTTCACTAAACTTGGTGATTTTATAAAAGTCCAGTAACAAGTTCAACGAGGTTATAAGTCTGCGGTAAGTTAAAACAGTAATGTAAGGATTCCGGATAGGGTGTAGCTAGAGATATAATTATAGAATTTTGCAACCCTTGTTTTAAATCAAGGAAATTCGTCCGTATCACTTTCACCTCCTTGATGCGATGACTCTTAGTTTTAAGAGGGAAGTGATTAACGCAACTGATGAAGTCAGTGAATTTCGAAAATTTTTGACTACATTAAGTCATAAGTCAAGGTAAATATACCAATAAAAAGGTTTTTTTAAAGATGATTTATTCAATCGGATTTTCAGCAAATTCGTGAATTGTTTTCATCCTAATCATCTCGCGAATTTCCTGAGTCCAGAAAGCCTTTTCTCTCCTTGTTGTTGTTCTTCTGGATATGCAGCTACAGTTGCATCACTATACTCGATGCCGACTATTGCGTCCCCGTTCGCGCACTCTGGGAAATGTGAGCAACCAATGTGCGAGATGCGGTAACCCCCTCGCGTGAAGCCTTGGTTCTCAACAGAACGAGGGGAGACTTCGGTGGGGTCACTCTGACTTATTCGGTTTAAGGGCTCACTAAAGCTATAAACATGTGTTCAGATTTAGATTCGGCTACCAGCTCTTCTCGGCCGCTGTGGTGTAGTGGTAAGCAGTGCGCGCTTTCACTCACCGGCACCTGGGATCAAGCCCTGGTCAAAGCAACATCGCAAAAAATTTAGAAAAATGTTTTTCTTAACAGCGGTCGTCCCTCGGCAGGCAATGGCAAACCTCCGAGTGTATTTCTGCCATGAAAAATAGCTTCTCATAAAAATACAATCGCCGTTCGGAGTCGGCGTAAAACTGTAGGTCCCTCCGCTTTGTGTG